GGAGCATAAGACCTGGCATTTCTGTTTGGGAAATAAGTATAAGACAGGTGAATATTCAACTTATTTACTTGTGATCACTCTAAATAAGGTTAATAATTTTTTTCATAATAGACTTGAATGTATTGCTGGACAAGAACCATTTTAAATGGACCCCCTTAATTGTGTTTCAAATCAAAAATATAACAGTCCTAACAAGAAAAAGAAAAAAAAATTTCTTGTGAAAGAAATGGTATACTCCTTTATTTTCACCATCATAGGCACTTTGACCAAAATTTGTACCAGGTTCTGTTTAACTTCAAATATATTAAATGGGATTTTCTTCTTTACAGATAAGATCTGTTTCAATACAAAATATTTCAGGAACCTCTCTTTCAAATTTCAGATGATTTTCAGATTGAGGATCAAAATCAAATTAAAATCTGACAGGTAACTTTCACATGTTTAAGTTCTGTAGGATCTTAAAATCTAACACTGTGAACAAAAAGAAAAAGCTTAAAATGAAGATTATGTCAAATTGAAGAAAATTCTCTTGTGCTGGTAAATTTAGACAGTGTAATATTCACTACTAAATGCACATGTGGGAAAACAGCCATTTCAATAAAGGCAGACTTCAGTACTAGAATAAACAATATGTTACATATTAAGTTATTAAAGGGTATACTGGATTGGGTTGGAGTATTAAAAGACAGTGAACAAGTCCCTCTATCACAACATAAATTTCTGCTTGCCTTGTTCAGCGATTTCAATTTCCCTGCGACCAAAGTCAGCCAGCTTAATATTCTTAACACAAAAATCAGATCCACCACTGCTGTTTTTCTGCACATAGAAAATGGATGTATCATACTCTAGCCTCTATATTGCTTTAACTGTTACTAGAGTCACTAACCCCTATCACTCCCAAGATCTTATCAGTAATTCTCCTTAGAGTCTGCCATACAATTGTTTACATGTTGGTCCAGAGACTTAGGTATTAGATCACCTTATAATCCCCTAATTGAAATTTTTCTTCATTCCCATCAGTTGTCGACTTGATAATGTATTGATATGATAAGGAGAAATTCTGACTTGTTCACTCATGAAAGATAAAGGGTTAACTATCTGAAAAGATCAACATGAATTTTCCCCTTGCAATTTTGAGATAATCAACTGGAAACAAGAGATGAGAAAAAGCAAACTTTACAGCTGAAGGGTTTCATCTTGATACAACACCAAATTCTCATGTCTTCTCGAAAAGGTAATGTATGGCCATTGGTGAAGAGAATTACTATTCAATTCTTGGGAGTTCACAGGTGAAATAAATTGAACAGTCACAATATGAGAAATGAACAATGATTCCAGATGCACACAATTTTGTCACTCACTACTTTGGATCAAAGAAAAAAAACAAAAGGTCTAAATGGAATTCATGGCTTGTTTACTACAATTGAAGTCGGCAGTTTGGTACAGGTGACCCTAGCAACAATAGAGATAATATGAAACAAGCCGTTACATTATTTTTCCTCTGTGAACATGTCTGTGAAAGATGCGCGTACTTGTAACAGTTTACATTTAATAAGAGAAAAGTTAGCAGAAATGTCCAAAGCAAAATGAAATAAACTGAAGAAATAAAATGGTATCATAACAAGGACATAACGATGAAAACAAAATAAAAGTATGAAGAAAGGTGGCTTAGAAGCACAGCAATAAAGCAACAGCGCAAACAAAATTAATAGAGACAAACAATTAACCATTTCATTTATCTACAAAATTGTGATGATTAAAAATATTTTCCACTGCACTGAGGCTCAGATTTGATTCTTGCATCAATACTGGTCAATCTTTTGCTTAAAAAAAATAAAAACCTTTTTTTGGTCTGAAATGTTAGTCTGCAATTCTATTACTTGAATCTCCTCCTCAAGAACAAAATGTTTTAAGTGCAATTTTTTTTCTTGATATGTCTTACTAATTTTGCAAGAGAAAACTTAGATTCAATGTAAGAAATGAGATGCTCATTAACTAGGGGGAATTTTAAAGAAAAGAAACTTGACTGTACAATGAGAAACAGTTCCCATCCAGTATGTTTCACCTGGCTAAGGATTAGGGAGTAATCCTTAATAATTAACAACAAGATTTGTTCTCATTTTCACAGTTCTGTGCTATATTTATATGAACAAGTATATTTTAAGTTGCCTCAAAACTATTTTGGGTTGGTAAAAGCTGACTATATTTGTATATTGCAATAATTTAGAAACTGCTCTTAAAATGTGTTGCAGCCCAAAAAATAAATACTAGTATTTATTTTGTTTGTATAGCCAACCATGAAATTTCTCCATGTACATCTGTGGTTTACAATAATTCTAAAATGCAGATGTGCCTCAGTGGAAGAAAACCTCTAAGCCCATTTTAAGTCAAATGCTATAGAAGAAAATATCTTTGAAACAAACAGCCAATCTCTACACAATTAACAAATGAATACAGAACCAAATTCCAATAGATGCTGGCTATATTATCATACACTCTACAAAAGCCAATATAGTTAAGCTGAGTCACATAGTACTGCTTTCATTGCATCTATGCATACAACCTTCAAAAACAAACACTATTAATAAAAGAAATAACAATCCGATGGTCCAAAAAGGTTTAAAAATATTGAAATTTTGTTTGGAAACCGGTCGATTCGTTTAAAGAACGCTCATTACGTAAGCACATGACGTCATGTTTGGCTAATCGGTTGCACTTCACTAACTTTACAAGTCTTTGAACAAATTGCAAGGTCCATATCGTCTGGATATATTTTCCTCAACGAAAGTGTTTTGGTTTAAAACCACAGAAACTAAGACAAGTAATTTGTACTATTTCTATCTACGGGAGACTCCCGCCGATTTTTTTATTATTTATTTTTTATTTTTTATTCTAGCTATCGATCGACCGGGTGGTTGGAGTTCATTTATATATTTATTTTTTTAGTTAAATTTACGCTCGCTGCTTTCAGTCTTAATTGCCGCACACTGCTTCTGCTGATTTTCATGCGAAGTAAATCTTCACAAAAAATTACACATAAGCTAAGAACTCCCTACACTGTCGATCCAACATTCGATCAATCGAATCAAAACACCCGGTAAGCTCTGCTTATTCAACTCTGAACAAAGTTTTTTATGCATATGTTATTAGCTAGCATTCAGGCTATTAGCAGTGGAAATTGAAGGCGAAGAAACAGGCAAAGAGTTTGTAAATAAAGTGCTTTTGTTATAAATTTCAAGAACATACCTGAGATCTTTCCCTAGGAGATACATCGTCTTCATCTGATGAATAGCTGTCCGAGTAGCTAGCTGCAAGAAGGCGAATATTGTAGTTTTAATGACATGAACTGCTGCTTGCAGATAAGCCGTAGGCATAAGTTATAAAAAATAAAATTGCTTAAGATTCAACTTGTAATGTATAGGAAAGTTAAGAGGAAACCTAAAAATCACAACTTCTGTAAGATAAAGATTTTTAGTACTGTATCAATACGATTACAATTTGAAATTAAAATAAAGAGCGGCTGATCACATCCCAAAGCACGAAGACGAATGAACTGTTAAGAAATACACCCTCTTGTACGAGAAATCACGAAGTATAGATTTCTCAGACGAAAGAGAGAAGAATCAGAATGCGCCAAAAAATCATTAAAAAAGAGAAGAATACATGCTCGCTTCACCTGAGCTTCCATAACTGTCTGTGGAAGACACCGAAATTGAACGCCTTCGAAGGCGAGGGGGTCGCCTCGACATGCTTTCAGAGAAGGTTAAACCCTAAAGCGAAAAACGCACCAACTGTCAACGATACATGTCACAAGGCATCGAAAAATATGCCAAACACGAGTGAAAAAACCTCTAGTGCCTTGAGATGAGGTGGTCTTTGCGCAGCAGCCGGAGACTTGTGTACACGATGATCGCCTTCCGAAGCCGCCATGTTATGATAGTAGCAAATGGCCTACATAGCGGCGTGGAGTCGAGGCGACCAATCGGACAAAAGCGCCGATGTGGAAAAGGGAAAAAATCACTTCCCTCCTCCTAAAAAAAAACTTCCTTATATCATCTTGACGTAAAAGTAGACGTCCTGAAAATGTTGATAAGGCACTCATGAACTCTTTGGGAGGTAAAAATAAATTAAACTACAGAATCTACGTTCAATATATTTATTTAATTTACGTATCTCGTACTCGTTGTTGACGCCAAAAAGTTTTTTTTTTTTTTTTTTAATTTCGGTCGAGTGTGTGGTGTCTGCTGTGTGCTAGAATGACGCACGTGAAGCTAATGATCTGAAGCATATTTGAAGCACGTGTTGAAACTAAATGTTTCCGCTATTTCGAGCTCTGATTATTGGATGAAAATTCAACTTTCTTCTTATTCTTTCAAATAATCTCGATCAGGCGATTCTTCTCAAATGGAAACAATTTTTTAGGCAAAAGAACAATATCGAACAATCCGTGCGTCATTTAAAAAAAGGAAAAGTGTACAGCACAACAATAAACCTAGGATCATAAGAATTCTTTTAAAGGAGATAATTATATCCTTTCGTCTAGTTATCAATGAAAAATACCGAAAAGGATAGACAACGCAATATTGTTAATAAGAAAGGAGTGAATTTTGAGCACGCTTTTCAGAATGGAAATTGTTTAATTTCTGGGTTCGCCGGACAGGTGACAACGGAGGATTTGAACAAGCTAAAAAGGATATCCTCAATCTTGAATTTGAGATTTGGAAATTTCAGTTAACTTCCCCTTGATGCAATGATCGTCAAGCTTTGAACAAAGGTTCAATGTAGGAACAGAAAATTTACGGACGCCGATGTCCCATTTATATTGATGAGCAAGAAAACAATATGGCTGATTCCACAATTTTTTAATTTCTTTTTTGTCAGGTTTCATCGAAAAATTTAATTTGCTATGCACAGCACATGGAAATTAAAATCAGCAGAGTTTTTTTCAAAATGAAGGAAGACCTCATGTTTGATGACGTCAGACTATGGACATGTGGGCATGCACGTATGTTAAAAGAAAAGTTTTCAAATTCTCAGTAGTCTTGCGAGCTTGAATAATATTTACCTATAAAAAGCTCTGGATTAAAGAGTGATCCGCACACAGGTGCTGGTTTTAAAGGCTTTGAAGCCAAAATATGAATTTCAATTTTAGCGCAGACCATTAGGTGTTCAATTGAAGAGTGACGGTCAGTTGATACTTTTTTCCTCTATTCTTTAAATGTATTGATTTTGTAAAGAGAAAGGCTTTAATGGTCAGTCCTAGAGTGAATGAATTAGTTTTTCGGCTGAAACAACCGTGACTGCACATAACGCAAAAGAATTTTGAAAGATTATCAAGTAGAGCGCGCACATAAAATTTGACGCTAGTATAAATGTCCTTTGTAACTGAAAGCGTAATTATTTTTCAGATACCAAAATAGGAAGGGTTTTATTTCCGCGAGTACAAACCCGATGAAAAATTTACTTTGAAGAATCAGTTTAAAGGAGCGATATTAATAAGGAATATTTCTACTTCGACCCAGATTCTTCTTTTAGCGATAAAGTCTGTTAGCTGAAGTACAACGTGTTACGAAAAATCATAACAGAACGATCGAGGTCCTCGCTTAGTCGATAAGAATTCTGTACAGCTGCAATCATCTGCTTTGGCTTCTCATGGATTTTGCCATTATACAGTTCTGCCATAGCTGTGTAATTATATTCTTATCATCGAGACAATTCCAGAACGAAAAGTAGAGGATGAAAATTACATTCTTACCTGACGTCTGAGCACACGAAAGAAATCGGATCATTTTTGGCCGGAGACACAGATTTTTGTTCATATTTGCGATTTCGCTGGTACTTTAAAATCAGTTTCAGATGGTGTTACAAAGCAGTCATCGAGGGCAAAATTATACCTTTGAAAGACCTTTGTGTACACGGTAATACACGACATGTATATTTGAATTAAAAAGTGAAATATTTCGGTTTTCTGACAGTCGTCACAGACTTTAAAAAGCGCTTCCATGTGCATAAAAATAAGCGACAAACATAGCAAAGTTATTTCCCCTCATACTATCAAATTATCAGCTTTTTCATTATGTCTTAAAGGTTCACCCAAAAACCGGATGCCTACCTTGATTAGATAGGAACATATATATATATATATATATATATATATATATATATATATATATATATATATATATATATATATATATATATCAGACCAGACACGGGGGTGGGGAAAGGAGGGGGATCACCCTACCCTATTACCAAGCTCCAGGGGATCCACCCGCCGTCTTGAAGCATGCAGCCGCTTTTTTAGTTTCAACCGTAATATAATCAAGAAATGCTGAAGTACTCCACTCCTAGAGATGACCACCGAGCAGTTTCTCCTTCAAATATCAATATCTGATTACACAGGCAGGTAAATATATATATTTAGTATAATTGCTGCGGTGATTATAGAGATGCACACGCCCTGATTGGTTGAGGATTCAGTCATACCTGGCTATAATCGCCTCGCACGAGATAATTATAGCAGGGGCGCTGAATTTCAAAATGACTGCCTCGCGTTTTGTCAATATTTCCGCTAAAGTGATGAACGCGATAAAAGAAAAATTCAATTGCGTCGAGCACAAAAGATGCTACTGAGTCTGGCGAAGCATTTTTTACAAGGAAGATATGAAGTTTTTGCTGATTGAATATAGTGAACCTTTTTACATATTTTGATACAAGTAATCAATGCAATTGCAACAAAAAATGCGCAATGCTCTTTTTATTTACAGAATTAACAACATACACTCGGAAGATCATTATACTTATGCAATTAATCGCTTTCGGCGTATAATTGTTAAACATTTCTTAAGAGTGAAAGGGGCTTATAGATAGAGCCTACAACAGCATACCTGATATCATATGCGTTATTAGTTCAAAAGAGCTATCAAACTTTCTGACGTCAGCTTATCAGTGCAATACAAAAACGGCATTAAACATAGCGCAGGGCCAAACATCGGTCGCTGGAGGTAAAATACAAATCTACTGTGCTGACGTCATGATCAAAGTTCGTCAACTTGCGAATGCCCTTGACTCCCGTCTGATAAATCACGTGATGCAACACTCGATATGATCACGTGATACAGCAAAACAGGCTACCTCATGCTAAATCATCATACAGACAATTGGCATCCGCAAATCATATGGCTAAGAAAAATACTTAATAACTAGGAAACATAACGAAAATCAAGCTGCATGAGCGCATATTTAAACAGTTTATTTGAGTTTCATTTGCTTCCTTCCCTTTTGAAACGAAATTCGTCTCAGATTTCGAGTTCTTCTCGAAGTGCTTGATCGAATATACTCAAGTAACCCTTTTGGTTACGCAACAAAAAACCACTAAAGCATATCAAAAAAGCTAATAAATCAATGGATGCAGTGGACTTTGGAAGCTCTTAAAGCTTGCTATACAATAGGCGCGACCCCAACGAAGAAGAAATTGATAAACAACTTTATCAAGAATGTCTGGAATTCATCATTTAAAATGTGCACCTTCCTTATGGTGGGAAAAAGAGATGTGCACCCGGATCAGAAAAGTAGCTTCCTTTTGGGAGCTTACACCCTTCTCCAATAACAAAATATTGATCCAATCCTACTGAGCTTAATCGATTCAAATTGTTGCCAAACGTATCTCGATGAATTCCAACTGAGAGATTCTGGCGCTCAATCCTTAACGCCCTAACATCAGTGCGCATGTTCTCTATGCTGTTTCCTATGGTGCTGACATGGAGAATTTGGTTACAGTTAAGATCGAGCTCCTTTAGTTATGATCATTTCTACCATTCTCATGACCTTAACATTTGATTCACCCGTGATACTGTAAGAAAAATAAACTGCTAGTCACTCTAAGTGGGTTGCAGAAAGTACGAGTTTAAAAAAACATCACTGAAAATTACAGACGAAAAATTTGTTTTAATTGACTTATAATTGACTATTAGATCATATGAAATAACTGATGTACTACCAGAGCTCGGATTGGTCGAAACCCGACCATTTATTGCACCGGTAAACACTTAAATTTTTTGTAGTTTATTCAGTTTATAAAAGTAATAGACTGCGCGTTCTATCGGTTTTCCGGCATAATAACCCACGCGGGATATTGGGAGAGCAATAGCAGTTTGTTAATCACGAGCCAGAGGCGAGTGCATCTATAATCTTTTCTCGTGCTCTCCAGCATCCTGCGTGGGTTATTACGCTGGTAAACCGATAAATTAAAAGAGCTCGAGATTTCTTTCGCGTGTTAATTGGAGATCTAATTGCTTCGGCACAAATCTCCTTGACGTTAAACACTTAACACTGAACAAGACTGGCTCAAGTTATTATTTAATCTTTCTTACAATCACACTTCTTCAGGCTACTAATTTTACTAGCTATTTATCAGGGGATGAATAGCGAGAAATGAACCTAAGCGGATTGCAGCATATTTGATAGAAAGTTTGAAGATTTATACTAATAATGGATACCTTGTATCAGGAAAAAAATCAGAACTTAATTACAAGATATATACAATCTCTGGGTTGATACCAAGACTCCAGTTTCTATATTCAATGTCTGAATAAATACTCGTTTCGGTTGGAATTCATATTTGCTACAGTATAGGATACACTTTTAAAGAAACTAGCGAGGTGAGATTTTCTAATTTTTTGGCCAAAAAAAAGGTAGAATTTAAAGATGAGAAAGCAAAAACGTGAGAGCTTCCTAGTTATGTCAATGATTTTGTTTAACGATAACAATAATATACATAGTAAGGAGAAAAAAAAAGGACAATGATACAAAAGCGCATCAAATATATACACGAAAAGAAAAACTTACGTCGTATTGCACTAAGTGCAAATGTCGCCAGCAGAAATATAGCCTTACCCCTCCCCCCACACGAAAACAACATTGACTTCATACTTCATGTCACCACCTTCGATGCGTTTTGTATGGAAGGAAATAAAACTGATCAGCGAAAATAAATCTACGAATCACAAACTGAGGATTATTAAACTAGCGCTTCTGTTGTCAACGTTTCAGTAGCAATATTTAGTTTCCATTTTTCACCTGAGTAGTTTTTTAAATGATAATATCTTCGTTTTATTTGCGTTTCGACAGTCAATCATATTGATCTAGAGACAACCTTAAAACGTAAGTTAGACGTACCCTTAAAATACCATTTCAATACCATATTATCTTCTAGATTTATCTAAAAACGAAGGAGTGATTTTGGAGTCTGTGTGGAAGAGATCCAACTTCTCCTTGAAGGGTACTTCGATCAGTATCACCTCAGGAAGAAGAAGGAAAAACAACCAGAAATTGAATAATTTTGACTGAATACTCTTTACGTTTTGTCAAAGCTGAGGAAAATTGGCGTTTCGATTCTACTTCTATCTAAACCGGAAATCAATCAATGGATTGTGGTCTGCCTTTTGTCTTACTGTTGATCGTCGTAATTTATTACAGAAGCTTTTTCCTCGACCTTTCGCACGCGGGTCACAACAATTTGACAGTTCTATGCGTTCAGTCATGACGACAGGAAGGTGTACAAAGTATATTTAAAGAGTTATCTCAAAAAATAAAGAAAAAAAAACGCTGTCTATGTTCCACGCAAATAGAGTGACGCACATGTGATACAGCATGATTTGATAATAACGTCATTTACTGTATTGTACGAGGAGATTACATAACGCCGAAACTATTTCTATCCGACTCATATTAGGTGCAGCATTTACCCGCCTGTATGTCGGGTAGGATCGCAGCTTCAAAGCGCAAATTTTCCTTTACCATAATTTTTGTTGTATTTCTAAAGGCGTTTATCAGAATTCTTCTATATGCACGTGTTACATAACAGAAATACCGCAAAGGTCATTGGTAGTTAATTGCTCACAAGAGGTTCAAGGACATGAGTATGGCATAAGACCTCGTGTCACTATCACAGATTCCCCACGTGTGGAGCACATATGACGCGTGACACAAGCGTTCTATTTTAAGTCACGCTTTCAATGATCATTTTTAATTAACGTTTTTTTATGGGAACATAAAAGTAACAAATATAAACAAATGTAACTATTATAAAAAGTTACTTTCTCTCATAAACACTGGCATTAAAAATCTAAACTTGTTGAAATTCTTTTCAAAGGCGCGAGTCGCACAAAGGTTGTTACAGACGAACTTGTGGCTCAACCTGACATTGTATGTCACGCTATGCAACATAGACATCGGTTCGTGAAATCTTTGTCAAAATTTGAAAAAATAAACCTTTCCGAATTGAGAGGAGTATTTCCTCAGGCTGTGAGATTAATTTTGTGCCCCCCTACAAGTGTTACTTTGTTTCATACAGTACGATCAATCCTTAATAAATTGTCACGTAATCGTTACGTGAACAACTTAGACTTCCATATGTGAACAGAAAATGCATTTGTGACCGTTTAAAATGGGGATGTGATTTAAAAAGAAACGCTAACGTGATAAGTCATTCTCTCTCTAAGAAATTTTTAGAGACAAGTGCGATCGGAAAAAAAAAATATTCACCGCGTGAGTTTTCCAGTTCGCAACAAGCAGTTTTAGATACGCGATCATAACATGAGAATTTCATGATGCCGAGATCATGGATGAAGCGTATTTTTCCAGCGTTTCAGATCGGTAATATTCTGATGATATTCAACTAAATTTTTCTAGAATAAAATATTATGCACTTAACGTCACTGCGGTATACCATGACGAATATACGACAGAAAATCCAGCAGAGTACACGGTAAATACGAAAAACAAACTACAGCAATATATGCAACATGTGAACGATTGAAGGAAGCCTAATATACGGAATGGAAGAAAGCTGTCGGCCATAACAGAGTAGCCTTATATTTTTAATGGTGTATTTAACACTCTTTAAAATTGCATGGCTCACTACGTAAGCTCGCTACTTCAGCTATTAAAAGGAAAATTATCGCGAAAATTCCGTTTTGGAGTTCCAACATCTGCAATTTCATGACTGATGATATTATTTAAACAGAAAAGCTGCCACAATTTACCACCATCCCTCTTTGTTTGCTAAGTTAAATATGATTTCTGCTTCCTGCAAATTCTAGAATCTACAGGTCGTTTGCTGCGAGACAATAAAGAGTTATGCAAAGTCACGCAATATACTCCTTGTATTTGCATAACGATGTGTACAAATATTTCTAAAAGTGAATTGAGGAGAGAGAAAGCCTCTCAACATAGTTTAAATAAAGAGCGCTTCTTATCTTTTACATTCACGATATCTAGTTAAATTCACTGAGGTGTGGAACACATTGGGTTGAATTAATTCATCACCCGAAATGTGGTCTGTGGTATTAATTCCAACATAAAAACGCGGTTGATGTTTAAAGAAAAATAATAATAAAAGAAAAAAAATCGTGGAAAAGGAATAGCAAGGTTAGACAATTTAAGGATAGAAAACTTGTAATCAAGCAATAAACGGCATTACAGGTTAGGACCTCGACGGTGACTTCGGAGTACGAATACAATCGTCTAGAATTTTAACCGTGGTCGGGAGTGAATCGTCATTACATACAAACCTGAACTGTCTATCGAGCTGCTCCGGGATATCGATCTGTAAGAATTCTGCTTGCGGATGTACTAAAAACAAAAGCGAACAAAACCATTACCATCGTACGAAAGTCTTACTTAAAAAACAGGAACGAACTGGGTGATTAAAATCTTCATTTGTATCATTGTTGTTGAAGCTGTTCGTGACATGACATATAGATTCTCGCCGTTGGGCACTCTCTCTCAATATGTCATGTTCATTTTGTCTTGACATATAACTATTTCCTAGTTCGCTCACTTTCGAAAAGCTAATCTTAACCGTGACTTAGCAGAAAAACTTTGAGTAATTTTAACCAGCAATTTTAACAATGACGGCGGACACATTTAACATTGTTTAAACAGGTATATAAAACGCCTATGAGATATTTCTTAGCTAAGAGTCAAGAAAATTATAAACATCAGACGATGTAATTAAGAGAAGGCTCGAAAGCCTAACGAACAGCGAAGGCACGAGGAGCCCCTTCAATTTGCCAATTTGAAGGCGAGTAAAAAGGACCGTCGAGAAATGAAACGCTGCGGTTTAAAATCGTTGCTGTCTCCCGATCTGAAAGTTGCGTGAGCCGACCTTGAAATATCATCATCGCATCATTTCCACCTTTCGCCGGATGCCAGTAGAATTACAGTAAAAAACATTTCACTTACTCTTTTATTTTCATCCGGTTCAGGTTTGTTGGCCTTGGCTGAGTACGACTGAATGGCCACCGAGTTTTTCCGATTCCACATCGACATCTTTAATGAAATAATCCAAATCTTTAACAAAGGTCGCGTCGGAGCCCAACCGGCATCATGTATATTTCATAACTGTTTGGAGTTCAGTTTCCTTTTATAATGCATTATAATGGTTTACCAACCAGCTTCTGTATTGTCTCATGACGTTGACGTTGCCGTGACAACCTGGGCTGGTATTGGACAGAGGCGTAAGGCAGAGAGTTATATATTGTGAGCAGACAACAATTGAAAAATCCAATATTAAAAGAGGCTTTTAATCATAAACAGTGTGTTTCAACCTGTATGTGTGTGTGATGTATTGTTTATTTGAGTGATAACATTCTCGACACGGTCGACTTAGTTGCCAAAGGACTGGATTACGTGGAACGAATGTTTGGGTTTCCTTCCGTTTCAGAACTTCGTTTTCACGACAGTTTCAAACTTAAGTTTACAGGGTTGCTTTTTAAATCGCAAAGTCTGAAATAAACGGTGCTAGTATCAGAAAGATTGCCTCTTCATCTTCAAGATAAAATATCTTGCACTTTGGAGTCATAAAATCAGACTTACAATTCTTCAGGCATCAGTAGATATGAACAAGGGACATTGTTTTGAGGTTAAGAAATGGATTTCTAAGAGATCATGATTGATAATCCCCTGAGTGTCAGAATTTCTTTGGGAAACTGTAGAGATGTTAAAAAAAATTCGTGCAGAACACAGCCAATAAAAAAGGTGATATGTTGTGTGTTTCCAGCAGTTAAGTGCTGGTGGCAAAAAAATTCACTTCAAAATGAACTAATTAACTAATATCAGTAACTTTTAACCACGACTCCTTAAAAGAAGGATTACTTGTATCAACATCGTTGACGACCTCAATGGTATTTTTCTTCAGCAACCACAAAGACATAAAATAATCTCGCCGCATGGACAATTGCTAATGCAGTTGGGTAGATTACCGAGTCTGGCGTAAACGGGATTAAGTTATTTACACACTCAGACAGTATTGTGTATTATTATCTACAGCTGTGGAAAAAAATTTCCTGTTTCAGCCGCACGCTTCGTTTTAGTTAAAAATCGAACATACCGCGACTAGCGAGAAATATAATCAAACTATGGCTGTCAACTTATTACCTTATTTTTTATAATCCTCTTTTTTTTTTTCTGACAAACCAAATTAGTTTGGTGTAAAAGTGCAAGTGACCAAGTGAAGCGGTTTTTTAGCAGTAGTATTCTTAAAAATGTGCAAAGAGAAACCCGTGTGCCCACATATAATATCCAGGAAACCATTTGTGAACTTGAAAAATTCAGCCTTCAAATCCCAAGTTGGTTACCTAGCTGCCTTCCCGTCTCCAATCATCCGTTTTTCTCTTTTTTTTCAGTTTAATCCCTAGGCCCATTTTATGTTTTTCCAATGTGCCAATGCAATATTTAGGGTTCCTCTCGAGTTGGAGTTAATTTTGCATGTCCCAGAGGAACCACGCAAAACATCTTCCCCCTTTCACTTAGATATCAATTCTACCCATGCCCACTTCCTGCCATACGCATCTTTCGATTTTACCTCAAATAATTTGGTGTAAGATAAATAGAGAAAAATCCATGGGCGCACGTAGATATGGAATTTTCACTCGATATCTCACGAGTGAGCGCAGCTAACAACTGAGATCGAAGAGAAATTAATTCCATAGTTACAAGCAACTAAGTTTATTTATTCGGCATGAATATGAACAGCAAAGGGCTTTGCTGACATAAAAAGTCGACTTTATCGATGAATGAGTTACGCAAAAGGCAAGTGGCACGCCAGCAGCTAAATGGTGGTATCAAGAGAAAATAATTTTGTGATATCGAACACATGTAAAAAAATTTCGTAATTTCACACCCGGGGAAGTTACGACTCGTTCTCAGGGCTGGAGATCCTTGTAAACACCTCAGTTTATATAATTAAAAAATGTATCCAGTGTTGATATTTCTCTATCCCCACACTACCTTTCTGCTTCACCTTGGGAATGTATTGAGACTTTAAGGAGAAGTTACCTATTGATCACTCCTGGGAGTGAAAGGATGAAATGTGGGAACAGATTTTCAGCTGACAGGGGCATGTACATGAAGAGACCAAAGAGCGTCTGCTTTATGGCAAATTCTTAACATTGCTTGGCTAAGTAACAACTTAACAGTGAATGGAAAGAACAATTCACGTTTGCTTATTCGTATATAAGGTGTATCCTTTTGGTAAAATACTCTTTTCCTAATCCTATTTCGTGCCCAGATCGTACTAAACTCTCCGTTACAGCCAACCGTGGGAAACATGGGAACTAGATAGTGACGATCCTTAGAGAGGGAAACGCAAACACAGAAGTAACCAAAAATTAAACTTTCGGAATGAAAAGCTTTCTTTCTTTTTCTTTTTTAAAAACTGAGTGTCTGGAAAAAAAAAGCTAATATAATTCAGTATACCCTAATATCCCTCTTGCGTGCACGCATAAACCTTCCATTTTTTTTAAGGGTTGTGTTCCCTTTGTTCATCGCTGTATTGCTTAGGAAATCACAATACGAAATACTTCAAATTTCGCGTCAGTTGCAGGCTGTCAAGGAATAGTCCGGTTTATCTTGAAATGTGGTTTGAGTAAATTAGGTCAAACTCCTTTACAACGTGCAGATGAATATCCACCGACAAGTATAAACCACTCGACGGAGACCAACTTTAATGAAGTTTCTTTCGTCATTCATTAATTTCGCTGTATACTATATTTTAATGACACATAGTGCACTCTTCGATTACCTTTCATAAAAACAAAACCAAAGAAATAATAAAAGCCAATCAGATCGAATAAAGAAAATGCCATAAGGATCCAATGAAAACTCAAAGTAAAAACAAGCAAGCTGCCTAAAGCGCGGGAAAACGCGGGCGACCAAGGCGTGATTGGTTTTAGTTTTGCATCTAATTGGTCGAGAGATTGGCCGGGGTTTTCTGAGCCAATCACAGTGCAAACCCAGTGCAATCTCGGATTATTTTCGACATTTAATTGAAAAGTGCTCTTTACTCAGTCAATACTAAAATAAACGATGTTTAAAGATAATGGCGTTTATTTTTTATGACATAGGGTTGAAGTGAAGTGGGTCAGAATGTGCATCAAACATCGTCGAAAATACATCACTCGTCAAAGACATAATTTGACACAGTTTCTTTCGTCATTCATTTAGTTGGAGATCGAGGATGTTAAATCTTCTTTCTTCAGCCACATAATAAACCACCGTTCTGATGCCAGCGGCAGAACTTTTCACACAACGTCACTCTCACATGATTTAAGTGCATGACTGCATGTTTTTTTTTTTTTGTCGCTTATTCTTAACTTCCACTCACGGCTCTATTTTCAGAGGCAACATCTTCAGATTCGCTCTTGACAGTCTTTTCTTCGTTTTCAGGAGAGTTCGCTCTAGTTTCCTGATAGTAACGCAGTCTTTCCTAAGAAAAAACGAATAAACGAAGATCTCAATTAACGTAACGTGGCCAATTAAATTAATCAAAGTAGTTATCTGACAATAATCCACAATGCAACAATATTTCAAGTGTGCATTCTAAGAAATATTGGCATAAGCATTTTCCTGTTTAATGAAGTTTCGAAACAAAGCAATGAAAAAACTGGGGCATATATTAAAACGATATTATTGTTAAGTTGCAATTCTCTAAAATATTGGAACCTTAAAGCCCTCAGATGCGAACATCTTACAAATCACAGCAGTTGACTGCACGTGTACAACACGAACTACGAATATGATTCTCATCGCTGATTTGCTTTTGAGATCCTCACGATGTGATTGGTTCCTAGCACGAGGACAGAGCATGCGACACAAATACTTCCTCGCACGTAACATTCTTTAACACCAAATCTGGAACGAGGGGGAGGAAACACTGAGCCAGTTTGAAATGCGGAAAAAACTAAGCAAAGATTGCAAAGAAGAGAAAGACAAGGAAGCAATATTGGCACGAAGAAATTGCAATCAGTGTTAGGCTGAGAGATTCACCCAAACTATGCCAAGCACGTCATCAACATCAACAACATTAGGAACAATTAACCCGTGATTCGAACGAAGACCTGAAATAAATCGAGCGTCGGAAGCAACCCGGTGTTCCATCGGTTTTGTTTCACTTCGCTCAGTGATCTGAACAGACAAACTTTCCCTGCACCATCCTCTCCGCCAATCAGGTGTAAAACTATACCCAAGCGCGACCGTGTCATTAGAATTTCCCGCGCTTTACCCTATTCCAGGCATTCAGTTGGCAAAACGGAACGGAAATGCAAATGACGGAAAATGCGAGGGAGGTTTGGGTCGGGTGGAGCTTTATTACGCGACCCGACCCAGTCTTTCCTTCGTTTTTCTTTTTTTTTTTCAATCAGCCGCTACTATAGCGCTTTTTAGTATCGCGCTTCATTTTACTACCTCAACGCCTGGAACTACCCTAGCTTCTATCTTTGTTCTGGCTTGATTTTTTGATTACTTATATTCTTTTTTCTTTCCACAATACTCGATCAAAATGTGCTTTAAGCGCGCATAGCATGATTGAGGCTCGTTTAGCAAAAACCCCAACAATCACGATGGCCAATCAGAACAAAGAAAAAAGGAACCAATCAGAAATCAACGTGATTGAAGAGCGAGAAAGAGGGAGTGACCAAAAGTAAATTCTTACCAATTCCTGGTTAGCTCGGTATATTTTGCGTTTTGAAAGGGTCCATTCGTTTAAAAGCTTTCGTTCCACTTCAAGTTCAAACTTCTGTTCATCTGTAAGAGGAGCGGCCAACCTACAGGTCAACAAAAGTTATAAATCAAATCCTCAATTCTCCTAACTGTATGCCTACATTACTCGGAGGTCAGTTGTGAGAGTTTTGTGTAAAGAAAATAAGTAACATTAGACCAAGAACAGTCTGTTCTATAAGACACAGTCCAAGATCAAACACCTCCGCGACAATTCGCCTTCGAGTTAAAAAGATTAGGACGTTCTCTGAATATTTTCAAAAAATGTTTGGATAAACGACTTTCTATATGTTTGGATCGGATGACGGAGGCTATGATGCCATCGCTAATGTCATTTTCTCTGACAGAATGACTTAAAAGGGACAGCCTGCTGAGGTTGAAAATCACGAAAGAGGCGTTAGCACTCTTGACGCGGAAACAGTATTGTGAGAAAGGGAGTAGTATAACACATATTTAACAAATGACAAATTTGAAAAATCTGTTCCAAAAAAATTTTTCAAGATGTTTAAGCCCTGAGTCACTTTTTTTAAGACTGACCCGGGATCTCAATCAAGACAAAAGAAGGTACATACAGTATAGCCAAAGGTTTTACTTCCAACATTCGACTCAGAGCAATCACTGTCCACAGCTTGGGATCTTCTGCACGGAGCTTTTTTACCTCTGCGGTCTGGCAGAAAGACAACAACGACATCGAGACAAATGTGAATTATTGATCATCATATACATGTGGCTCAATTGTTAAAATAAATATCAGCAGTGCCAAATGAAAATACTGCTTATTAGCTTTCATTGAGCTTTCATTTGGTTAAAAAAGAAGAAATAATACAATAATACAAAACTAAAGATTAAAGTTTTGTGCAATATCACAAAAGATTGCAGATTATATTACAACGCTGCAGGAGTTTGTCTGATTTAGTTCCGCCTCCCTTTTCATCTAATGTGTTATCGAGAGTGTTTGGAGAGTTTGTTTTTCATAAACTTACCATGCACATAGGTCAAGTTATGCACTCACTGACTATGGACAGTTTTCGCTATTTTTAAGAGGACTTCAATATGGAATAAAAGTTAGCTAAAGAAATAGTCGCATCATAACCTCGCAGAGTCTGCGGGAAATATAATTTTATCGCGTATTGATTAATTTGTACCTGCATGAATAGATAGGAAATGTGTTAATAAAGTTTTTATCATTGTTTTTATATCACAAAACAGTTCACGCAAATGGAACGAAGTACTAAAACGAAGTTATAAACGTTACATCTTATTCGCTAGATATGATTGCTGAAAACTTGTCGCCAACTCGGTGACTTTCGCTGCCAATTCAGTCTCTATTTTTTTCTTCCCGCTTTTGTGACCAAAATAGTGACAGCTTGAAGTGATGTAGTCTTTTTTAATACAAAGAAAACATTAGTGTCTAGCAACTGGAATCCACCGGAATCATTCGATATTGCACAAGAGCGTCCAACATCGGAGCGTGCAAGATCCAACGAAGACGTCCAAAATCGGACAGGGGTGTTTAAAATTGCAAGGAGCTGTCCGAACACGGACCGAAGTGTCCGAAATTGTACGATAGCGCCTGAAATCTAACGGAAATCGGAAATAGGCGGAAATAGACGTTCCATCCATTGTGATAAGATTTTCTTTAAATAAACCCAGTTTCTTTATCCCGCTTAAAGTTTACCAGATTTTCCGTTAAGAAACCAGCTTCAATCGTCAGATTAAGGTTGATTTTCGGCATTTTTCAAGTTTCCTACTATTCCTTCAAGCGGAACAGTTTTACTTTTTACTAATACAGTCTCGCTTTTGTTTTGACATCAAAATCTGTCCGTTGCAGGCATTCTGTCCTGTACATGATAGGGTTGCCATTTATATCATACATACGGCTGTTTAGTTTAAATTTTTTCCTCATCGATTCGTGATTTTAAATTGTTCAAAATAGATAAAAAAAAATTAGGCAGTAATAATCTCTGGCACGTACCATTCAGGGCAGATGCAACAAATTTGTGTGGAGGGGGGAAGGGATGAACTTTGATTCAGAAAACAATGAATATTTTACAAAAGCCTTAATAACCTAGAAATACATCAATTTGGGTAGTAATACACAATCCTGTCCTTGTGAGAATTTTGGTTTCAGACAAAGATAAAAATTATCCACAGTTCTGATGGGTGGGGTCCAGACCCCATGGACCTTTTCCCTGAACTCCCCTACCCCTCCCCTCCCCCACTGCTATTAATAACCAACCTCTTCCTTTGTCAAATGATCTCGATAGTTTTCAGTGTAGTCGGTATCCTGGTGCCACCACACATGATAACCTATGTCCTGTAAGATAGTGATTACATTAATCTTTATAACTACCTTTTATAAATGCTACCATAACAGGCTTTCATTATTGATCACAAAATAATATGTGGTACTCCAAGTTTGTTTGAAAGCAAAACACATGCAGGGTGAAAGAGGCAACTGAAATGAGGACTTCACCCTAATAACATAAATGAAGGAAGTGTAACAGAACTCTTTGAGACATTGATGTCCACGATCGAAGAGCACAAAAACAGGATAGCCCAATGAACATAGAGTCTGCTGTTTGCATTAATCACAGAAATTGAAAACCAGCTAGTCATATCCATCATATCTGAGCATAATGCTTTGATAAGGTGACATGTCACTAATCAACCTTATCATATTTCTCTATTAGTGAGTGCATCATGATTGGTCAATTTAGCAGGCTGGATTTTGCTATAAGGCCTGCAAAATTCAAAATTTGCTTGAATTGAAATGTTCCCCCCTCTATTTGAACCCTGAGATGTACTAATTATCTTTCTAACCCTTTAACTCCCAAGATATCATTAGTAATTCTCCTTACTGTCTGCCATATGGTTCTTGTAATGTTAGTTTGGAGAATTTAGTCTTGGATCAACTAACCATCCCCTAATTAATATTTCTCTTTATTTGCATCACTTGTCTGCTTGATATTGTATTGATATGGTGAGGAGAAATTCTGTCTTGGTCACTCATGGGAGTTAAATGGATAACTTTTTTTCTCAGACCGTATTGTAAGTTATGAAAAATCCTTTTTTTTTTCTTGCGCATGGATTTATGGCCTATGTGCTTCACCCTAGGACCATAAGTCCAGGCAAAAAAAAACTCAGTCTGAAACTTATAGTACAAAGCAAAGAAAACAAGATAAGAACAAGGTGCTAAATGCCCAAAGTCCAGCTGTGTGTGATGCAATTGTTGCAATTCAAATCAGAACTGACTGAGTCATGAGACATACACAACTTTTTAAAGAGATATTAGGCTGATGTAACTGCCCATTGATACCTCTGGCTTAAGCATTCACAATAACAGTAATAACGGCAATTTCTGTTACATTTTTAAGATTACAAATATAATTTAAGTAGCAAAATACCTTTGAAAACTGTAGAGGAAATGGTTTGGCAGGATGGTAGCAAACAAACATGGTCTTATCAGCTGACATTGTTATCTTTGCTCTGCAGAGAAACATAATCAATTCATATTGTGATTTAAACGAGCTTTCTACCAAGTCTGTTAGATCTGAATATGAAAGAAATCTTTACAGTAATGAGTACTAATTAGACAGTAATTAAAATAAGGCCTGAAAAAATTAAGGCCTGTACAAGATTTCAAACCATGACCAGTGTGATATGTGCAGTGCTCTACTAAATGAGCTAACAAGCCAACTGGGAGCTGGTCATTATGTTGGTTTCAAATAAACCCATGAAGTGATGAATACATGACTGTAAATATATGAAAATCATATATGTGAACTGCCAATTAAAAAATGATAATAAATAGTGAAATACTTTAGCAGTAAAGAAAAAAGGGGTAAAATTTCCGCACAGCCTCATACTATTTTAAAACAAATCTGTTTTCCCAATGGCAATGTATTGTTTTTGTCATTGTTTTCTCTATCCAAGAACTGAATTTATAATGTAGGATGGGGCTGTGCGGAAATTTTACCTAGCAACAAACTTAACAAGCCCACTGGGAGCTGATCATCATTTTGGTTCGTATTAAACCCGTGAAGTGATGAATCAATGACTGTAAATATGAAGATCATAGATGTGAACTGCGCTTTACGGAAATAAGGCCAGAAAATAATGCAGGCCTGTACGGATTGTCCCTTTAATTCCCAGATTACCACAAGCCCAATCAGGCACTCTTACTTTTCTATTCGACTCTCTGTATCCGCAGTGTTCTCGAAGAGAGGACCTCTGCTTGTCGTAGTATACAAGTTGAGTTCTGTTGTGTCATTTTCCAGGTTAAATTCTGCTTGGATCTGTCTCTCCGATTTTGGTTTCTTCATTTCTAATAAAACATTCTTTCTTCTTAATCCAGCTTTTGCCCACGCAGGGACACCAACTGTATGAGGTGTTTTCTTTTTGCAAACTTGACTTGTGGAGAGATTACAGACGGGAACTAGAGATAATATTCGAAGACAAGTTACGCAGAAGTAACGACCAAACATAGCTTAGTACCAAATTTTCAGTTAAAAAAGCAACAAATTATTGTTATATACCTCTCAATCCATGAGATTCTCTATAGAATTGAAGTACTCGAGACGAGAAATTTCCAAATGTACTCCTACTGGCGGCCATGTTGGGAATGGAAGGAGTGTGAGCGGTTACCTAGCTGTACCAAAATTGCATTTTCTGGAGGGGCTTGCCAGGGAAAAAAACAGTTCAAAACTTTTGAGTAATAACTCGCTTTCATTACGAACATTGGAATTTTTTCATAAAATTGAGTTGTTTCCATTTCTTTCACACCATGAAAATTTAATGAATTTGCGGAGGTTTCTTATCTCAAGTCTTTGTTGTGGCAGCAATTTCTGTCCCCACCCCACTGGGATATATCATTGTCAGCCAAAGCGGGAATATATTGTGCTTTCAAGAATGTGAATGGGCAAATTTTTGCGTGATATTTGAAATTTTCTCCTCTAATGTGATGTCAAACCCAGACCAATGTATATTTATCAGTAATCTGTTATGATGGGGCAGTGTTTTGGAACAGAAGACGGAAGCTTTTTGCCTTTTCGGCAAAAGCGGGGCTATGATCGCTTCACAACATTCGCTCCGAAGAGCAAATGGTAAGTTTGAAGTTTTGTGTTTACAAAGCGCTTTAAAATCACATGTTTTTAAGAACTTAATGCGAAGCCAGTCAAGATACCTAATAGGAAACTGTGAACTGTAATTAAACGCTGAAATTATTGTTAAATGAGGTAAAAAATATTGTTTACTTTAACCTTCTTGGTGGATTTTGTACTCGTTCAAGTTTATTTGTGGGAACGAAACAAGCGTAAAATTATGCGCAGTTTTGATCGAAATTTCAGAAATGGAATACTTCTGAAATAGGCTTATCACGACGCTCAAGCTAGTATTGACGTCAAATATATTTTTACAGTCAGGAATGTTTTTGTCTTTGTGGTGATAATTTGGCCCATAGCAAGTTCTGCTTTTCGACAATATGAATATTTAATTGCGAATAATGCTCCGAGTTTTTTTCATGTTCGTTAACATCATCAGCTCTTGTAGTGCTAAATGCTAAGAACCAGGGTTATAACTTTGTAATCAGAGAAGTTTTGAAACAGAAACGTATGAAAAGAAAAATTAGCAAAATTACACAATTTGTAAAATCACTACTGAAGTCATGGTTTATATTTTCGCTTGGAAATATTTTTACGCTTATTATTTAGTTGTTGACGACTCAGACGGCCTGATACAGCATCTATAACTCAATGATTGCACGCTTCAAGCTAACAGTGTTAAGTAATGCTGGTGACTTGAATATATCATTTTCAGGAGATACGCTGATGAACACTTATTGACAGAAATACAGGATCCACGTTCTGATGATGAACTTGATTTATCAGGTGCATTGTTATATAGCAGAAATGTTTCTCTCAAGAATGCATGATTTTATCATTATAATAAAACTTTAATTGAGAGACGACTTTAACTCTGAACCACAGTGTATGTAAATTCAAGCTCTCTTGTTTGATTGGGATTTATTGCATTTGAAGGAAAAAAAAAGGCAATTTATGTTTTTTACAAAAGGAGTTGTGGATTCCCAGCTGTTTAAATACCTACACGTGTCTCATGATACACTGTTGGACGTTTATTTCAAAACAGTCACTGATATTTTTCTTCTTTTGTTGGTTAAAGTGACAAAATAATTTACAAAAGAAAGTTCATAAAGGAATGGAAGGTCTATTACCTCTAATTGTGAAGGGTACATTTCATGGCTGGAAACAGATTCAATTTTTTTTTTGGAAAATTTGAATCATTGTACCAATTTCTTGTATTTTCACCCTTAACCTTTCAACTCCCAAGATATGATTGTTAATTTTCTCCTCCAGCTGCTGCACATTTCCTTGTAAATTAGTTATGAGAATTTGGTGTTAGATCAAGATAAAACTCCAACTTAATAAGTTTTGAGTACAGTCATTACCTATTTGCTAGATAATGTGTGGATTTTATAGAGAGAAGTTACAGGTTAATCAGTGAATGTCACGTTATTTCTCTTTACGATATCTTTACATTATCTACCAAAATGGTGATGAGAATGGATGAATGTGGAAGTTAAGGGTGAGTCTAGATGTAACTCTAAATTCTCACAATCAATTTGCAAGAAAATGTGTGACGGCTAAAGGGGAGAATTTTGAATCACATCTTAATAGTTTGAGGGTCAAACTATTTTGGAATATATTTTTTATTTTAGATGTGAGGCGTCAAACAGGTCATGAACCAAATGGGCGACAAAACCCTCAAACCTCAGCAAATGTTAGGACAGGACTTAGACAAGAGAGGTATTTGAAGAGTTTAATTCCTTCCAATTTATTACAATTGTAGTCTCCAGGTCTTAAGAGTAGACTTGATCAATTGGACTATTTAGCAATGAAACAAGATTCAAAATGTTGTGTGCTGGAAAAAAGCATTGATGCTCTGAGACTGTTGGAAGTCTATGACCATTTCATGTATGACAACATCAAAAGTATAAAGTGGGAAGCAGGGGAAGGGGAGAGGAGTCTGTAAAAGTGTTAAGAATAAGCTGGTTTGGGGTCACTCTCAGTGATCTCTTTTTGATTTCCCTAATCCTTGTTGCTTTTTCAAAATTAATGATGAACTTAGAGTACTGCTCAGAAGTAACTTGACAGTCTTGCCTTGAAACCAGATCCTCTAGTTTTGCCAACTGTGGATCGAGAATTGACGATCAAGGATTGAGTTTCAAGAGACTGTCAAATATACTTTTTAGCGGTCCTGTAGTTGTCTAAATCTGTTCCTCTTATGCTTAAATCAGTTACATACCTCTTCCTAGTTAAGTAGTTCTCAAGACAACTGCAGTACTGGTAAAAAGTAAGTTGATCCGCCTCTTGAAACTCAACCTTTGACCGTTGATTCTCAATTTGTAATGCTCAATTATTTTAAGGATTGAGGATCAAGTTTCGTGTTGAGGCTGTCAACTTACTTTTGAGTGGTACTATACACCTGCCTGGGGTTTTTCAAAGCTAGGTTAAGATAACCTAGGGTTAGTGTGAAATTTTGATTTTAGGTCTGAAAGCTTTAAAAGAAAATTAATTTTAAATCTTTTTGCTTGCAATTTGATCATTGGATATTTCAAAAAGAATAGGGAAAATTTTCTCTGAAAGGCTTTTGAACAGAGAAATTAAAAAAACCTTGATTAAAAGTTAACCCTGGGTTATCGCTAATTGGCCTGTGAACAACTGGGCCCTGTAGTTTTTTGGACCCCACCTTTTAACTAAATAGGTTCCATACCCCATCCCAATTAAGCAAGAAAGTTCCTTTTGTTAAAACACTTTCTTTGTCCAATATGGCTGTGTCTTGGCATCTGAATTTTATTTGCTTAAGTCTAGATCATCTACATGCATTGTTGATAATTACATGTTATTGACCAGGCAGGAGGTCTGTATGGGACAAAACTGTGCCAGAGGTCTTGAGTATTAGCTGAGGTCTGTGCTTGAGACCAGGGACCTAGTCTTTTCCCTCTCTCATCAACCTAGACTTGTAAATAACTTCATTTTTTATGCTGGTTTGCTTTTTTCTGCTTTGCTGCAAATGATGGGAAAAAAGCGTCAGAATCATGGTTTATATTGTAAAAAGTTTGACTGGTTGCAAGGGCATAGTTAGTATATCAGAGTCGAGGATTTAAGATTCCAGCCTGCTGAGATGCTTCAGAAAAAATAACTTGATATATTTGAAAAATTTTTTAAATTTTTGTTACCCTCTCAGTATTTAAAATTGTTTCAATTGAACATAAAAATAAATATAAGAGTGGCACCTGGAGTTAGGCAACTCAAATTTTGGAAGGCAAAAAAAAGTTTTTTTATGAGGGAGAATTTTTATTTTTAATTGATTTATTCTATTTTTATTGATGCAGATATAAAGCTAATATTGTTATTTATAAATTAAAGTAAATCAGAAGTGAAGTCTTAAAAAAATTGTTTTAAGTTGGTTGCTTGATAGAACAAATGCCCATGTAAACTCATTGGCATTGAAAATGCAGAAAATTTTGAATCCTTATCAATAATTCTAGCATGTCTAGTGGCTTACCACTCATATTTCATCCTACTCTGGCATTCACTGTACACTGATTCTTAATTAATTTATAGGCCAGAAAGATGGCAAGTGCAAGTTCATTGAATGATCCACCTCTTTTGGAATATAATCTGCATCATGCTGGCAAATATTAGAATTAAATATTATATTATTATTTGTAAACCATTGATGCAATTGCACTTGGAGCATTAATATCAAACAGGCATTTATGTGTGTGACTATTTTGATAGCCATTGTTAATGGTAGTGCCATTGGTGTGCAATGAAGGAAAATATTTGTGATCAGCAAAGCTGTATGTGCACTGCATGCCAACCAACTGCCAACTGCATAGGCTAGAGAAAAAAATCACCCAGGAATGGCAGTTTTGATGTTGAATTTCATTGACAAGAAAATAATTTTGTAGTATTTGTATTAAGGGACTTTTGTAGGAAAATATAATGGTGTAAAGTTATTTATCGAGCCAGGTAGTTTCTGTGGCTTTTTATGCTGTAATGGATCAATGTCAATATCTGATCAATTGTTCACCTACCCCTCCCCTAACCCAACAAAATGCAACTGATAACTTAAGTTTAAGGTTAATGTTGGGTTAGGGGAGGTGTGGGTGGGCATTGCTCAGATAATGACATTGATCCACCATAATACTGTGAATTCCTTGAAAATGGGGTATTTGTTTAATCTATAAAATGAAGGCATTGATAAAGTTGGGTAAATATTTTTGGATTGGATCCTAATATATTTAGCAGTTATCTTTTCAATATGTGACTGAAGTTGGAAACTGGCCATGATACAAAATGCTGTAATAAGCAACAGACTTTGAATGAACTTTGTAAAGAGTTTTTGAGATAAACTGCGTTGAAGACCTGCTATTTCAGGAAAGCAGTATATATTTTACTCAATCCGTCCTTTGTAATTTTTTAACATCTGACCATTGCCATCACTGTTCATTATCAAGAATAAAGTTTTTCAGAATTTATGTTGTGTATGTATGTATGTATGTATGTATGTATGTATGTAGTAATGTATCTGTCTACTTAATGGACCAGTCCCTCAATGGGGCTTTTCAGCGCCAATACGAATGAATGAATAATTGGAAAAAAGTGTGAAAATCCCAACTGGTAGGAGACAAACCAATTCCCTCTGTACAAAGCGGTCAAGAAGTTGAACTTGAGGCGAACGAGAACTACAGCAGGGTAGAAGGGTTAGACCTGGGACCACCAACAACACCAGGGTCCTAACCACGCAGCCACACTGATGTTGTTTCCTTAGTGCAAAAATCTTTTAATGCGCAGTTTATATGAAAGACGCGCCGGAATTTTAATAAAAAAGTATTGTGATGGAGTTATTAGCCTGTGTCAGGCTTTTGTTCAGAGGAAATGAGGTAAAAAAAAAATGACGATTGAAAGGGCATGGGTCAGGAAAATGGTTGGAAAATCCTCCCTTTTCGCCTGAAGGTCTCACAAATTTGATAATTGCCTTAATTTTTTTATAATGAAAGGCTCCACTTCATTTTTTTCGTTTGCAGTCGTTCAAATGCGAAAATGTATTCTGACTGCGGACGTTAGTGTATATTGATTTCATCGACTCAAATCAAAGTATGATTTTTCTGATTCGCGCTACCATCAACGATTCAAAATCGGGTTAAAACTTTAAGGTGGAAGCGAATAGTGTTTTCCAAGCTTTTGGGCCCTGTTGCATAAAAAAAGCCTTACTGAATGCTGAGAAGGCTACGCTAGGTCGGGAAATAAGTTATCTTTCAAAAAAGAACCAGCAGAATCCACCTAAAAAAAAGTTCAAATTTACCAGAACTCACAAAAAAGGCTATCACTTCTTTATTGATTCAATAAACTTAATAATTAAGTTAAATTAATTTTGTACAGCTTCACCAATGTAGCTTTATAAGTATTTAATACTATATTTAAGTTGTTGGAGTAGAATGTCTCCTAAATACAAGCTTGAATCGCTGATAAGTCATTGGTCAGGGAAATATCTAATGCATTTCTCTATAAACCTGAATGAAAAAAGCAGAAATTTGCGGAAGATATTTAAAAGGCGACAGCTTTGAGCATTGTAAACCTTCTTTCTTACAGCTTAATGAATGAAATAAAAGATTGTAATATCTAAAGAACACTGAGAATACACGAAAACTGTCGAACGATAATTCTTTCCTCCAAGATAAAAACAATTAATCGTTATGCTTTGTTTTTTTTTTCAGTGGTCGGTGGTTAATTTAATTGCGATATACTTAGAAATGCCATTTTTATTCTAAACATACCATTGAAATACAGCGAAAATAGCGGTAATAATTATTTTTATACCATGTGAGATATTTACCATTAGAATACAGTGGAAATATCTAAAACTAGTTTCTGCTAAAACAGTGGATAACGTCGAAGGCGCACTCTGATTGGCTACCCAAACAATTCCCTTTGCTATTCATTTTGTGCGTAACGCGCGCGGGATTTGTGCCCGAAAAAAATTGTAATCGTTGCAGGAATAAAGGAGTTAAAATAATATTTTCCAGCTATACTATCTCACTGTTTAAGTATAAAAATAATTATCCACGCCTCTTTCAATTATAGCGATAATGCAGTTCTGCTATCATAGTTAAACCTATTTCCGTATTCCCAAAAACTTGGGTCCGTACTTCGTGTTAAACAATCCGATCTATTTCCAAAATGATGAATACAGTGCCCGAGGAGCAAAGGTTCGATGTGCCAGCCAATCAGGCCCGCAGTCAGAATACCAGCGGTCTCTAAGATAGACGCAAGCGTGATAGTGAATATGACGTGCTGCGAGAGGAACCTTCTCGCGATGATGTGGTACGAGTTCGAGAAGATCATCCCACAAATTGTGCCCTGAATGAAGCACAACAGCCAAATAATCCACACCTCTGGAACTAGTCGGTACCAGGTCGCTAGTAAAAGGAAAATGGTCTGGGCAAGAGGAAAAAAAGCGAGCACTGAGGCTGAAATGCAGAAAAATCCGGGCGCGACGGCGCGAAGCATGGAAATAAAAGTTCGACCAAGGAACTCTCCAACCATGGTGCTCAGAACATAGTGCTCAAAATGTCCCCTTGGGACAAATTCTGGACCCACTCCTGCGCCCTCAAATACTAGCGTCGTCAGGATTGCCGAAAGGACAATATATTCTCCAAAATAAACCAAGAACAAAACCAAAAAATGAGAGCAAGACTTCCACACCGACAAAGATCTTTCTCTCCAGCGTGGAGTTAAACGACAGTCAATTTCAAAGTTTCGCCGTTCAAACCGTGATATTGACCCAGAAGTTTGTGAATTGCAGACGAGATGAAGATTTCCGCGTGAAACTGTGAACAAAAGGAGAAACAACGGCGGCCATATAGCGGACACCAATATGGCTGTTCTTGGGTCTACTGTGGCCCAGACTGTCAAGCCTGTGAAAAAACCCGAAACATTCAATTAAATTCATGGTGATCACAAGAGCCAATCAGAACAGAGGTGAATTTCTTAAGATGACTATGAGAACTCATTACGACCACGAGCGAAGTGAACAAAGCGCGGGAATTCCGGTGGATCGCGATTTGTTTAAGTTTTACATCTGCTTGGTGGAGAAGATGGCGCGGGTTTTCTAGACCAATCACAGAACGCATTAAAGCTAGGCCAATGGAATATTGTAAGACTTATCGCGACAGATATTCTCTATGCATATCTGACGCAGATGCACCCACATTTTGCCCGTTGATCGATCCATGGGTTCCCTGTCGTCCATTTGTGGAGCATTTGATTGGTTATCTTAGGCTATGAAATTCAAATTCCCAGAAACCACTTTGAAATATTTGGATCATCATACAAATAACATCATTTTACGCGCTGAGCTTTGTATCAAATCTGTTTTTTTGCGTTTTTTGATACGACTGTAATACGCCAACAATTTACATTGTTGTATCAGGTTTGTACGGTGTAGCTGAGTTGAATATTTACAAGCAGGAAAAACCGAAATTTTCTAGCACAGATGAAACAAAGCGCAAATGGGGTCTAGAATATTTACAAACAGGAAAAAACGAAAATTTCCAGCGCAAAGTGAAGACTTTGATCTTTGTGGTAAAGCAACAATCAAAACAGTTTTTGGAGGGCAATGATCAAGAATTACATATGTGGCTCCTGGGAAATGTGAATTTTTATTGTGTTTAATTCACATGAGGACAAAAAGCATAGTCTTCGCGCAAATAAAGAAACTAAATGTTTTTCTACACGGTTATCTGTGGGACAAATTAATTATATAGTTTCTTTTTCTTTTTCTTATGGCGGATAAATGTGTTTGCTACTGTTTCGTTGTTGCGTAAAAATTTAAGGAAGTTGAAATTCGTGTCTACGTGAAGCGATATAATGAAACTTGATGAATCTAATTTTGACGTATTAATTCCTTTTTTTTCGGTGGGGTGTTATAAATCGTATTTTCAGTCGATTTCTTAGTATTTTAGCCGTATCTTGATTTTTTTGTCTTCTCACAAAAAAGTCAGATTAGTTTGGATAGAAAATAAACCAATCCCAGTGAATATCTCGGAAGTCGATCGACTGAAATTTTCTTTCGTAACGGGAAGCCTTTGAGGGGGCCTCTATTGAATTAATTAGCGAAGAATTTTCCGCGAAATAAAAGGAATTTTGCGGTAACAGGAAGGGCTGTACTTTACAAATGCATATGCCACACATTTCAGGAGAAATTAACGTGATATAGAAACCTCATTTATATGAGCGATCAAAATGTATAGCTTGAATCATTTCATGATTCTTGCCGTACAGGGTGTACTTAAATTACTGTTGCGTTTAGCCCGCGAGCAAGATATCAGCCCACATCTCTCTTATAAATCACAAGAGTCATCTATTGTGAGAGCTCATTGTTATCATCAAGTAGGCTATTTGCAAGGGCAGTCTTCGGTCGGGATTCACGTTACCCGTTATAAGACTTCATGATATTATTTACACAAAGTACTGGGGTTTTACTAAAAGATTTACAATTTAACTAAAAGAATAATTGATTATGATTTGATTGTTTTTTTTTTTTCGATAAGTGCCTCAAAGCCTTTTCCTGGTATATTTACAAACAGGAAAAAGTTAAACTTTCCTACGCAGTGAGAACAATCTAGTCAATATTATAGACGTAGCAGTAAAGCAGCATTGTAAACAACTTTGTTTTAAAAGTTTTGCAGAACTACCAAGATATCCACTATGAAAAGAAATAAATTGTGGTATTTTCGAGAAGATGAGAAATTTTTTATTTAGTGACGAGATAAAATATTCGCAGCTCTTGAGATCACTTTATACAACAAACACGCATATGATATCATAATATGTTAGAACACGTACATTAACGAAAAATATGAAATATCTACAGTTCTCAAATGTAACCTTTTTTGTAACTTACCCACGTAAGAGGCAGCACCTAGAACTGCACCAGCTCCGGTTCCTATTATAAACGAACATAGGGCAGCTTCTTCCAGCATTTTTGCAGCTTGCATGAGAAGACAAACTTCTCCAATTCCTGTTCCAACAGAAACCAAACAAACTCCCACTATGCGACCTTCAAGGTTGGAAATGAACACTGTACACAACTGCCCTGCGAGGACAAATGTGGCCGTGAGGAAAACGCGAGCGACGTACGACACTTGATGAAAACACAGCGACACTACCTTGAGAATGCACGAAGGAGCTGCTAACGATATAATCACCAATCCTGTTGGTTTATTAGTTCCTGCTAACACATCTTCAGCCGCACAAACGAATGTGGTGAAGGGCACTATCAGAGAAACTCCGAGAATAAAGAAAACTAGCGAAAATCTGGATGTTCTTTCGACTCGTGGCCATTTGTGAAATTCATCTTCGTCTGTATCAGAAGCAGAACAGCTGTAGAGGTCTTCATCGCTCATTTCGGACATCATTTTGAGGTCCACTTATTTTGAAATTACCTCATCTGCTGGGTTCTACCTTGGGAGAGGTTCAGCTGAAAAACGGCGTGAATATCATCACTGAAAGGGACACTGCACAGATTACGGAAAAAATATTGAGCGAGCTTTGTCGCTCGTAGGCAGATATTTAGAGGAATTTGCATGGCGCGTTGAATTAAAGAGTGGCAGTACTCATGAGATTTAAATTCTATTGAAGGGAAGTGACGCGTAACCTGACCGTCGCACAAGATTGGCTGCCTAGGGGTTCGAGAATGGCGGATGAGTGGTGCAAGATAAACGGCAAATTTGTCACGTTTGAGTGAATAGGTCTCTTTGTATTCAAAAGACAGATACGTCACTGTAAACAGGGAAAAGTTTGACTGAATTAAAAGGAAGACAGTCTCGACCCACAAAGAAAAGAAACTGATTTATTCATGATCCTATGAAAAGATAAATTGATAATGGACTTCAAAACATTTGAAAAGAATTGATTCGTCGCATCAGTCAAAGGACGGCGCGCCCCATAAAGACGACTAGGAAAGACTAATTATTCTATGCCTGACAACTCGTCTGACAGACTCCAATCTCACCCCCAATCTCTCTTAAAGCAAAAATATTCAATGGTCATAAACAATATTTATCAATCAATCACCGACAGTGAGGTGAATAGTTGTTTTAACAGATACCAAACAGAAACCAAAAAATTTGTTTAATTCTATAAATGTACCGAAAAATGGTCGGAAATTATAGTCTTGACTCGTGATTTCGTTTCTTCGTCTGCTCTGAGGTGAATAGTACTTGCCTATCACTTCCAAAGTAGCCGATCAGCGTGCTACAAGCACCACATACTTATGGGGTTTATATATATAACCAGTCGACCAATCAAATTACGCCAAGCTTTGTAGTCCACCGGATGTCAGCATTTATAAGTTACGATTGTTTCTTGCACGGGAAAGAAAGCCTCTGTACGACTTAAGGCTCAAAACACGAATTTTCGTCGGCCTGGGATATGAGTGAATTAAAAATCATGATAATACTCATGCATTATGGAAACTGTAATGGTGCAAAATTCAAAAAATTAAATTGCTGCCTACATCAACATTTACTATCTAGGTCACAGGCGGCCCAAGCTCACGTCCCGAGTAAAAGCCAACGATCAGTTCATGAATGCGTCACGCGTTGTGTCTGATTGGTTGATCAGGACAGTAGATTAAGGCGAGGTGTCTCTGTGGGAATGGGGCAAGTATTGTACATTAATCGACCGTACCACTCGGGGTAGAGAGAAAATTGACCTCGCACCTAAGTCTCTTCCGCGGCCGTGTCCAGTCTGATCGTCAAGAGCATAGCCAGAGAGGAGCGAACTTGGAAATGCAGGTAGAAAACGCTCGTTTCCGGCGAAATGCGCGGGGAGTTTGGTATTGAGACATGTCCCGGGGTGAAATGATCTCAGATTGTAAACTATAGCTGTGGAAAATGCCGATCGGGAGGATTTTCGGGGCGCAAACCACCTCCGCGTGGACAACAGTCGAAATCGGTATGTGCAGCCTTGACTTTGTCTTTTGACAGGAATAACAGTGACGGTAAAGCAAGCTTAAAACGGCAGACATCGCCAGAAATTACAACGGACACGCAGGATGTGAGTAAGTTTTATCGATTTACCTGTAAAATGTTCGTATTTCGAAATGTTTATAGTTGTAAATCGACCATAATTCGTTCCCCATACCATTCCTTATAAGGTGTTAAATTTTCAAAAGTTCCTCTCGTAACTCAACACCAAGTCACTCACTATTGTTTTCTTATTTCCCGTTGTAATGTAATTCTATTGATTCGATGAAATTCTATACATCTCGAGACGTGAGCTTGGGTCACCTGTGTTTAGGTCAACGACAAAATTTGTCCAACTTCATCAGCTAATATCAATATTAACACTCCAAACACACTAAATCCAAAAACGAAAGTAACTTAACGTTAACACAAATTCACCTAGTCTGCAACCCTAGCGAATCCCGTCAAAACCAACATGCC